TGACAGTGGAGGGTTGGGAGTGGATTGGGGGTGTTTGTAGTTTATTTATGACTTTCCAAAAGTTTCTAGGGTTTGAGATGTTATTGTTCAGATTTTCATAGAAATATTGGGCCTTGGCCAATTTTGTCTGTTTTGTGCATATATTTCGCCATTGTCTCTATGCACAGTGATCATTCATAGAGCTAGTACGCTTAAACTTTGACCACAAAGAATCCCGAAACTGGTACATTTGGATGAGGTCAGCTGTGATCCAGTTCATATGTGCTCATTTTGCCCTCACCTTATGCAGCGAGTTCAGACTGAAAGAATTCAACAGCACAGTCTAGATCTGGGATAATGTTTAATCTGTGCCATGGGAGGTTCTTGATGTCATTTAGAAAGGATTCAAGATTAAATTTTTTGAGGGGCCTAGTTATTTTAACCTTGGGAGAGGATTTAATAGCATTTATTTTGCGCACGCAGTACACTAAACAGTGATCACTGAAAGTGTTTGGGAGAACACCAGCCTCCTGGATTCTATCAGGAGAAGTGGAGAGAATCCAATCTAGCAGAGTATGATTATGGCTTTTAATGTTTATGCGAGTTGGGGATGAGATTAATTGCGTTAGCTGCAAAGTCTTAAACAGCGTGCAAGAACTATTATTTTTAGGATTCAGCCAATCAATATTAATATTAAAAGACCAACGGTTCACTTTTTGGGTTTTGAGCTATGGTTTCACTAAGGAGATTGGCCAAGTCAGAAAGGGAATGCACAGGGGAGCAAGGTGGGCAGTAGATTCCTGCAACAATGATTGATCTCAATTGTGCCAGATAGGAAATCAAAGGTGGCAGGAGGACTAAGGTTTTGTAAAGGGGTAAACTTTATGGAATTGTCAACATAAATAACAATGCCGCCTCCTCTCTTTGCTCTGTCATTTCTAAAACATGAATAACCCTGTATTGCAATGGCAGTGTCTGGTATTTTAGTTGTTAACCATGATTCTGAGAGCACAATGATTTTTGGTTTGTAATGGGAACACCAGGCTTGCAGTGCATCCAGTTTAGGGAGTAAACTACGGATGTTGCAGTGCACAAAAGAGAGGCCTTTTTTAGTGGGGAGATTAGGACTAGAATTAGCTGGGGGACCAGGGTTAGACTCCACATCATTTGCAAGGGCAAGTAACATAAGGAATAGGAATTTGGACATCATTTTTGTTTGGCCATATACTGAATGGGATACTTTATAATTTTGTGAGGTGGGGGTAGGAGGGCTATTTTTTTAGAACTCTCCACCAGCACTCAGCAGATAAGTTACAGGAACAGAGCATGCCATGGTGTATGATAATTTGCGTTCCAGTTTGAGGTGTGTGCTTATGCTGGTAGTGGTGTGAACAAAATTGGATTGAGAAAAGGGTTATTAAGAATATCAGTATGGTTATATTTGGATTCATGTTGGTGGGATGAGGTGTGTAGTTGAAAATTAAACAGAAATCGCGAAAAACAAAAATTAAATAAAAGTATATAGTATTGGTGTGTGATATATCTATTTGTAGGGAGAGAGGGTATGTGTTCTATAGGGTTAAGAGTTTGGAAGGGTGTGCTGATCAGTGTTTGCACCTGTCATTTCAGGAGATTGAAAGTTGTGTGGGAGACGATCTATAAATGAGGAAATAAGCATGGGGTGGGGTGGGAGGGGAATCAGTCTTCCAGAAGGCTACCTGTTTCAAATGGCCATGGAACAGCTGATGGAGCTTTGAGTTCTATGCTGGACTGGGTATGTTTGTGATGTGTTACTTTGATGGATAACGAGGGTGCTGACCTATTTTTGTAGAAAACTGTGCAACCCAGAGTTACATTACCCCTTAAGGAACACTCTAAGCATGCTATAGTAATTCGGTTGCCTAGAGTGCCATGCATTTTCTCACATTTTAAAATAAAACCCATGAAGTGTTTGTTATTAAAAGATGTTCCCATCTTGGCTGCATTGATAATGCGTAATTAACGGACCTTTATCAATAGTAATTTCATTCATCATGGATGACACTGCCTAATAGTGATGTCGCGAACCGTTCGCGAACTTGCCGCGAACCGTTCGTGGCGAACTACGGTCAGCTGACACATCCCTGCCAATCTCCGGCAGACCCTCCCTCCCAGACCCTCCTTCTTCCTGGACAGCATCCATGTCAATCTTTAAAATATAAAAGTTGTTTGTTGGTAGATAAAATCAATTTAGACATACACTATACACAGGCTAAAATATGTTTTATAGGTGTCTAATCAGTTATGTCGTGCGCCAGATTTTTAATACATTTTATATCATTTAGGTGGCACCATTCCCCAATGCTGGGTTCATTAATGGGTTTACATCTCCTACTTTCAAGCCAGCAGCTTCACCATTATCCTCTCTGCGACCTTATACACCTAGGAGTAGGCAAGTAAAAATATATTCTTCTATTGCAATGAAAGTGTGTCAAGAAATGGATACAAAAATGTCTTTCCTTATAACTTATTTTCACCCCATATGGGCCAGTAAGAATGTATGTATTAAAGTTCCAATGCCTAATAATAACGCAAGATTGGGTAAAGTATGTATTTTCAATGTTTTGGCTTGAAACGCTTCTTTCACATAAAGATGTTTAGTTTTTTGCTGGGGGCTAGTTGCACCCCCAGCACACGACATTTACGGGCTGCCTAATGTCAGTTCTGTGCATAAATTGTCTGTTAGCGTGCACTACATGCTGACAACAGATGTGAAAATCTTTCTTTTCCAGGCAGAGCACCTGCCAGGGGAAGCTAGCTCTACACTCCATCCCAAATTGCGCTCCCTCCATGAGCATTGGTCTGGTTTGTTTTTGTTTTTTTTAAAGAAACCCTCCCTCCCCCTCACTGGCTGGAACGCATGCATGCTAGTGAAATGGTTCAATTACATGCTTCTCATAGAGAATGAGAATAGGACATATAACTCTGGAAGGTCCTTCCTTTAATACATTAAGTTTTGAGCCCAGTTGCTGAAAAACAACCCCCTTTTTTAATTAATTAATTTTAATACTTTTGCAACTGTTAATGAATGTTTGCAGGAACCCTGGCAAATCACATCTGAGACATACGATACCTACTACAGACAGAGGGCCAGCACTCCTTGATGGTTCAACTATCTTCAACTTTACTACTGACAGACTTATCAATGGTGTCCGAGGGGCACCAACGCGGCAACCTGGACAAACCAGAACTCGAATGCAAAATGCATCTACGTTTGTTAAGAGAGATATTGGTACTGGTCGAGTAGAACCCACTAGTATTGAAACCTCTTCTGGTCTCGGCAGAGGGAGGTAAGGTTTAGGAAATAAATCACACTAAAACCGGTCTATTATGTGTTCACTTGGTGTTATTTTTCATTTGTGTTTAATGATTTGTGAGTTTGCAGTGCACTTAATCCTGTTGTAGTAGTTTTTCTGTCTCTCAATCTGTTTTGATACACACTCAAGGAATCGAACACTGTTCAATTTGAAGCTGTATAAATAAATGATAATGGTGAAAAAACGTCTGCAAAATCAACCTCTCTTTAAATTAAAAAAAAAAAAAAAAAAACACTTACATGGAGTAATACACAAACTGCTTGTTTGGGAAATTCTGTGACCGTTTCAAGAGACATCATCTGGATTTGTCTTTGTTACAAAATCATACTTTCTTGTGTGTGTGTGTGTGTATATGTGTGTGTGTGTGTGTGTGTGTGTGTATATGTATATATATATATATATATATATATATATATATATATATATATATATATATATATATATATATATATATATATATATATATATATGTGTGTGTGTGTAATTTTTGCAGTTTTGATGACTGGGTTTGGAAGGCCTGGTGTAGTATACATTGAGTGATAACTTCTCCCCAGAGTGTTCCTTTACATTTGGAATCCCATCATTGTGTTAGTATGTTGGTTTCATACATTATTAAATGGACCCTATAATCACCAAAACAACTTTAGCTTAATGAAACCGTTTAAGTGTATAGCTCATACCCTACAGCCTCTCTGCTCAATTCTGACTATAGTGTCCCTTTAATGCTAGGTAATGTGTAGCAGTTTCAGTGGGAGCTATAAACCTA